GTGACCTTAAACTGTTATAGATTTCAGCTGCTCACTGTGACTTGTCAAAGTTTGCTTGCCAGATCTTTTGTAGGCTGCTGTCAGTCTCTGCTTCCTGTTGATGTCTGACAACTCCCCTGTAAACTGCCACTCTGTGCTGTCTGTTAATCTGCTCTCCGTGTAGTCCTGTGTCCAGTTCGTTTACATGTAGACCCTCTTTGGCTACTCCCCGTGACTGTGCAGTTCTTATGTAGACAGCAACTGTCCTTTTTGACTACTCCCCGTGTCTGTGTTCAGGCCTTATGTAGACAGCAACTACCTTTTTTGACTGCTCTCTGTGATTTCACGTCGTCTGCTACTGATAGTTGACTGGCCGCATAGCATTCACAAAGGTGGAACTGCAACGTAAAAAAATAATTAAGGAGGAAAAATTACAAAATGTTTTAAGTTTCTGAAATTTTATTCGACAACTTAAACAAGCAAAGAGAATCTATATATAATAACTGTAAGTTATTATTATGTCACAAAAATCGTTCATAAAATACTGTTTTAAGTTACAATCTCAAGTTCCCTCAATAAAGTCTTTAATCAAAATAAAACATGAACTTCACAAAAATAAATTTCCAATTCTTTAATAAAATCGTAAAATCCCAAAATAAATTAATAAAAACGTTGTGCACCAGAATAATTTCGAATAAATGCCAAAGTATAAAGAATTTTGAAGAAATAGCCAAAACGGTGCACACAGTGAATTTTGGACGTTGAAGCTCCCGAATGAAGGGAAGCTGGCTACTTATATGCCACAGTCCCCACAAAATCCACAACCTTGTGGGAAGAACGCTCCACAGATATTTTTGTGGACTCCACAGTTTTTCTGTGGGCTCCACAATAATTTTGTGGGATATCTTCTGCGTCAAAAATAGGCACTTAATCAACAAAATATATACATCAAAACTTATAATAAGATTAATCACATTAAAATATTACACTTTCGAAGTGACAATATAAGTTAACAAATTATTATCATTGGATAAAGAACTATCCCTTGCATTCACTACGTAATAACACTATACGTAATAGTTCAACATGGCCGACATGGAAAAATGCCATTAAATTATCATAAATATAAAGTGTTCACAATTAAATTCAAATGGATTTATAACGCAGATTTACATATTAAATGAGACTGCATCATATACAATCAAACTTTAACATCTTTGGTGTGAAATAAAAGAATTAACTGTTTGACAGAAGTCACGTAAACGGATTATAATATAAACACAGGATTCTACCATGGGTAACATTTAGGGAAAATCTTCCAGAATCAGGAAGGATTTAATTCCTGGTACAATACGTAGATTTACGTTGATGTCCTGTATGTTTCATTAGGACACCACATGATTTACTGTGTTGTCGCAAGAAAAACTTTCTCAAAATGAAAATAAAAGTAGAAATAAACAAGACTGAAATCCAGTGAAAACACAACAGGTAAAATTTCTAGGGCATTACATTAATTAACCCCTGGTTTTCCATAGCAAAACTCCGATTGCCATATATTCATTTTTCACATATGACAATAAACAAGTTAATTAATAACATTTAACAGTGTAGCAGTACCACGTGACCATGACGTCATTTTCGGCATCTTTTCCAAGACAAATATTGCTCGATTCAGAAAAGAAAATAGCCGTAAATATTTTATTTCTGTACCAATTTCTTTGGGATATGCACCAGTCTACGGGGAAAATATAAGCTTTCCATAGAATATTGAATCTTCGTCAGTTTATAAGCCCTTTTATCAAACACTTTGCACAACCTTGGGAGTTGCTTGTATTAGAGCGGGCTTCATTTGTAAGCTATTTCGTTTTCTGGCGTTATCTGGTCTACGCCATGATTAAAAAGTCAGGTTTACATAAACCGGGAGTACGGAAGGCAAACAAAACTCTACCTAAATATGTTCACATTTTCATTATGAATGACATAAATCTTACATTTTTCTTCAATCGTCAATTCTGGCACCTGTTCCAAGTCGAAAAAAGGGACTACAGTTTAAAGCGGATTTTAGAATATGTTGCAAATGCGAAGCAACATGCCTACCGTTCACTTTCTACAATTTAGTTTTTCATTGTTGATCTTTCACAGAGAGATTGTTCCTTAAAGCAATAACGCTTACTTGTATCGCAATAGTGCACGTCAAAACACGTAGATTTAGTCCTGTCGGAAAATGGAAAATAATAGTTTGGTTTCGTTTTGAAGATATTTAAAGTATTGCTCATTTTATCCTAGGTAGTAAAATGTGTTTTATTATATTTCACAATGGCGAAATTGATAAGAAATATATGTGTTCTCAGTGAGAGAAAAAGTTAAAATAAAAAACACTTTTGTATGCTATTGAAAGGGTTACACTTTAACGCGAGTGTTGTAAAGCTAAAGGTATTTTTTCAGTTTATTTTTGTAAAGAGTAATTGACAAACACTGACACTCGTGAATAGGTTCTTCTGTCCTCAAAAGAGAGACTTTTAAAAGGTATATATTTTTTCTGGTATTGTTGTATAATAAATTTCTATAGAGTTTGATAAACGTAATCACAATTTGAACTTGGAACTTTGCCGTGTAAATCTGATAGTATTGTTACTTAGTTGCATTACTTATGATTCTCTATTTATCAAAAAGACCCAAAATAGCCATGAATAAGAACGAGAATGGACGCCATGTGGAGTAAACAAAGTAAAAATAGTAAACAGATAAATGATTTTACAAACAGCCATCGATCACAGTCAAATTTCTTGAAACAAAGCATTCAAAAAGACGTAAATAACAATGATTATCAATAATTATATAAATATTTACATTAACATCTGTAATAGCAACATCGGCAAGATCTATGACTGGGGTCCATATGCTACTGATGCGTCAATTGAATAATTGATAGCTAACATAAGCTTAGTAAAATTACGATTACATTTGAAGAGTATATTTAATTTTTATCCTTCAATTGCCAAATGACTTACTTCTTTATTTACATATCAGATAATTCACTTATTCGGTATATGCATTATGTTTATCATGTTTTAGATTTTAATGTGTGGTCCTTTTTTAAATCTTAAAATGCTACAAAAAGCCTGTTGAGGACATCTGCAGGTCATGCCGCGTGCAATAATCAATGCATTTACAGCAAATAACCACATCGATAAGAAATAGTCCCAAATAGCCCTATCGTTTTTATTCAGTTGAAAGAGACATTATTGTTAAAAAGTTCGATTTAAATTTTTTCATACCATAAGTATTCCGTTCCCTTCCTCTCTTTACAATGTATATTGGTGAGCTCTCTGATAAAGTTGGGTTGACTGATATAATTAACTAAATTTGTCAGATAAGCAGTTTATCAACAGAAATAAATGCAATTATAAAATAGATAGTGTTTAATAGTGTTCTTAAGTTAACGAAGTTATATCCACTTCACGAAAAACGGTTACCGTTGGTATGAATACAGGATGTAAAATATTTTATCAACGAGTGCAACTGTGTTAAAAAACTGAGTCTATCATACTAAAACATTGCTACAGGTTCTTTATATATATATGGTTATTCGTATAAATAGCTTTACAAAAGAATAACCTTTGGCTTTAAAATGGCCGCGTTGAGGCGTAACCCTTTTCACAGCATACAAAGTGAAGTGATCCTGAATGTGCACGTTCATTGGACAGGCTAGCTAAGTCAATCCGAGCCTGAAACATTTTCAATTTTGCCGTTTTGGGCGATATTTAGGGTTTCTGTTTTCTATTCCACGTTTAGTATTGCTACATGACACAAATAGGTTTTTCATAATCATTACCGTGAAAGAGTAAATCAATTTCTTTACAAATACAGACAACAATTTTACGACTTTTAAAATTACTTATAGCGCAGCGAGTAAAAATCATTTAAATATTAATTTGTGTTTATGTAAATCGTATAGTAAATAAAATGTTTTTCATGGTTAACATAATTATAGAAAGAGAACGGTATGCATGTTGCTTTGCATTTGCAACATATTCTAAAATCTGCTTTAAACTTTAGTCCTTTTTTTCGACTTGGAACTGGTGCAAGAATTGACGATTGAAGAAAAATGTAAGATTTATGTCATTCATAATAAAAATATGAACATATTTAGGTAGAGTTTTCCCTTCCGTACTCCCGGTTGATGTAAACCTGACTTTTTAATCATGGCGAAGACCAGAGAACGCCAGAAAACGAAATAGCTTGCAACTGAAGCCCGCTCTAATACAAGCAGCTTCCAAGGTTATCCAAAGTGTTTGATAAAACGGCTTATAAACTTACGAAGATCCAATATTCTATTGAAAGCTTATATTTTTCCCCGTAGACTGGTGCATATCCCAAAGAAATTGGTACAGAAATAAAATATTTACGGCTATTTTCTTTTTCCGAATCGAGCAACATTTGTCTTGGAAAAGATGCCGAAAATGACGTCAATGTCACGTGGTATTGCCACACTGTTTAATGCAAACATTGATGAGTACCTTAAAATGTAAATTTTACAGATGCCTAATGCATAGAAATTTTACATACTTTTCAAACAATGAGAACTTAGTTTTGAATTAAGGTCTCAACAATTAACAATAAACATGCATTTTATATTTTAGTAATGAATTTTGTAACCACATATGTTCGTCAACTGTCTTCTCATTCTATTTATCGATAGTTAGCTCATCCTACTCATAGGATTATCTGCTCATAGATCGTCTGCTCATCCTGCTCATTGATCATCTGCTCATCCTGCTCATTGATTGTCAGCTCATCCTGCTCATTGATCGTCAGCTCATCCTGCTCATTGATTGTCAGCTCATCCTGCTCATAGATCGTCTGCTCATCCTGCTCATAGATTGTCAGCTCATCCTGCTCATTGATCGTCTGCTCATCCTGCTCATAGATCGTCTGCTCATCCTGCTCATAGATCGTCTGTTTCATCCTGCTCATTGATCATCTGCTCATCCTGCTCATTGATTGTCAGCTCATCCTGTTCATTGATCGTTCAGCTCATCCTGCTCATTAATTGTCAGCTCATCCTGCTCATTGATCGTCAGCTCATCCTGCTCATAGATTGTCTGCTCATCCTGCTCATAGATTGTCTGCTCATCCTGCTCATAGATCATCTGCTGATCCTGCTCATTGATTGTCTGCTCATCCTGCTCATAGATTGTCTGCTCATCCTGCTCATTGATTGTTTGCTCATCGTGCTTATAGATTGTCTGCTCATCCTGCTCATAGATCATCTGCTCATCCTGCTCATTGATCGTCAGCTCATCCTGCTCATTGATCATCTGCTCATCCTGCACATAGATTGTCTGCTCATCCTGCTCATAGATTGTCTGCTCATCCTGCTCATAGATCATCTGCTCATCCTGCTCATTGATCGTCAGCTCATCCTGCTCATTGATTGTCAGCTCATCCTGCTCATAGATCGTCTGCTCATCCTGCTCATAGATTGTCTGCTCATCCTGCTCATAGATCATCTGCTCATCCTGCTCATTGATCGTCAGCTCATCCTGCTCATTGATCATCTGCTCATCCTGCTCATTAATTGTCAAGCTCATCCTGCTCATTGATCATCTGCTCATCCTGCTCATTGATTGTCAGCTCATCCTGCTCATAGATTGTCTGCTCATCCTGCTCATAGATTGTCAGCTCATCCTGTTCATTGATCATCTGCTCATCCTGCTCATTGATCGTCAGCTCATCCTGCTCATTGATTGTCAGCTCATCCTGCTCATAGATCGTCTGCTCATCCTGCTCATTGATTCGTCAGCTCATCCTGCTCAATAGATCGTCTGCTCATCCTGCTCATAGATTGTCTGCTCATCCTGCTCATAGATCGTCTGCTCATCCTGCTTATATATTGTCTGCTCACCCTGCTCATTGGTCATCCTGCTCATTGATCATCTGCTCATCCTGCTCATTGATTATCTGCTCATCCTGCTCATTGATCATCTGCTCATCCTGCTCATTGATTGTCAGCTCATCCTGCTCATTGATCATCTGCTCATCCTGCTCATTGATTGTCAGCTCATCCTGCTCATTATCAGTGTTCGTGTCGCTTGTCCCCACACAATCCACAACTTTGTGGAAAGAACGCTCCGCAGATATTTTGTGGACTCTCACAGTTTTTCTCATGGGAAGACGTCAAACAGATTTTTTTTGTGGAAGGAACGCTTCACAGCTTTTTCTGTGGGCTGGGATATCTTCTGCGTCAAAAAAAGGCACGTAATCAACAAAATATATACACCAAAACTTATAATAAGAATAATTACATTACAATATTACACATTCGAAGTGACAAATTCTTTATCAGCGGATAAAGAGCTATCCCTTGCATTCACTACGTAATAACAGTATACGTAATAGTCCAACATGGCCGACATAGAAAAGTGCATTTCAAATTATCGTTAACAATTAAGTTCAGATGGATTTATAACGCAGATTTACATATTAAATGAGGTGCTCATATAAAAAATTCAAACTTTAGCATCGTGTTGTGGAAATAAAAGGGAATTAACTGTTTGACAGATGTTCACGTAAACAGATCATAATATAAACACAGGATTCTACCATGGATAACATTTAGGGAAAATCTTCCAGAATCAGGAAGGATTAAATTGCTGGCACATTACGTACATTTAAGTTGATGTCCTGTATGTTTCATTAGGACACCACATGATTTACTGTGTTGTCGCCAGTAAAAGCTTCTCAAAACGAAATAAACAAGACTGAAATCCAGTGAAATCACAACAGGTAAAATGTCTAGGGCATTACATTATTAGCAAGTTTCAGGTGTGGGTGGGGGTAAATATAAATTGCTGTAAGTCATTATTTTTAGGAGCAATGCATGTAAACTATTATTTTTTTCAATGTATGTCATATATCCTCACAAATGCTGTGCAACTGGTTATCTGCATGTGAAACAGATTATGAAATATTTGGAATCGTGTTTTATTTTAACGTCTACTGACCCCTTAAATGATAGAAATACAAGTACACATCCAAGGTAGTGTTACCTGGGGACCACGTGATTGTTTAGTTAGGTTGGTGCCTAATCGGTCAACCAATAGGTAAATAGACAGCAAATGATAGTGTACTGTCTGAGGTTTATAAAGGGAGTTCACAGAATGGTACTTGTATTTATATTGACAACTTACTTGATTTTGAAGAAATAACAGATATTGAAGTAGAACAGTTACCAGTAAAGATTGAGTATACTATTGAGATGTATCAAGCAAAAAGACATTTCGTGAGATATAATAAAATTAAAAAAATTCTTAAGCCACTATTTAATTTCATTTGGTGATAAAATAATCTTGATAATATGCGGTCTTTAATTAATTACAACAATGTTGTGAGAATATAAATGGATGTTTTTTTTTAATTGATCAAATTCTTTGAATTCAATTAGACAAGGAATGAACATTATTAAAAAATTCACTGAAAGTAACTCATATTTTTATTAAGCTATTATAAACATCTAAACATTACTCACTATGTTTATGTTATGCAAGTAAATACTGGATGTGTGATTAAAAAAACTATTTATACGCTTGAATTTTTATATTACATTCATATGGTTAAAAGTTCTCATTTAGCAGCAAAATATATTTTCATCCTTGTTTTGAACAAAATGTGGCCGGCAAAGGCTACTGTTTACTGGATGTTTATGCAATGTTTTACTCTTCATGATTTTTACACTATTTACTTTGCAGGTTGTACATAGTATTTAGATCACAACGGTTTTGGTACTTTGTTATATGCTTCTGTAGTTTTTTTGTGAAACGGCATTCAAGACATTGAATACTTATATACTACATATTTTACCAAGTACTTGCACGGGTATTAAAGTTCTTGGTGCTAAGGAAACTGTGGCATAAAAACAATGTCTTCCAAAATTACAGTATTCCTAAACGATGGTACAATATAACCCCCATAATTCAAGTTTTTGAAGAATACTCAACTTTACAAGTTGACAGTTTAGGAATGTTTATAATCTGTTGTTAGTTTGGGTGTTTGAAAGTGGTAAATAATGTATTTATATGCATCACGCACTCTTATTGTTCAAAATACGATCACGTCTTTTCCATTTAAACTTCCGTATTCAATATTTAGATTGAAGGTGGTAATACTAGTAAAAAGTGAAAAGTGAAAAAATATGGATGTCTTAGTATATTTTACTATAGTGACAATTGTTGCTATTTTAGGTAAGTACATTTTTTTGTTGCTTTGCAGACACAAATTTAATTATACGACATAGTAAAATTTCTTACAATGAAACCTCTGCCAATATCTAACACCACATAGAAATAGAGCTTGTAACTATTTTTCTCAATTTCAATTTATTATTTGAAAAATACTAAAAAAAAATAATAAAGAAATAAAAGACTTCATCATCTTCCAATGATTCTGCTTTAAATTACATACGGTCATAAAATTTAAATGATTTACTGATGAAAATGTTCAATAAGATAAGTAAGTATACTCGAACCCCATGATACCGGTGACTCCACGGTACCGGTATATTCACATATCTCGCGGTATTATTGTCAACGCCACCTACCGAGTGTTTATATTGACATGCTCCAAGTAATATTGGCTATTTCAAAGTTTTTAAACATTTTCATGAGTTTCTGAAAGAAATATTTCACATATCCTACCTTATTTTTATTTTACTATCCTATTCCTCTATTGCATATACTGTTCTCTCTACAAAACACTTAAAAAAAAATTCCAGGTGCTGACGTCATTTAACCTCAATTACATGTCACTTGACCTTTTGACATCCTTTTTCGCGGGATATAAACTAGTTTGTGAAAATTAAAAAGTCAGTTTCATTCAGTCTTTTAAGGGAGCCTGTGTAAAGTGCCATATTGATATTTAATCTTCATCATATAGAAATAAAATAGATTCAATGATATAAAAGGACCAGAAAATCACAACAACACTAAAATTAAGTGAAGGGGAATTTTTGAATCCAGCTACATGGTATAATATACACCTGTAATTGGGGGTAAAAGATTCTAAAACAGAGATCCCTTGGGGTGATAAAAGAGGAATAGTAAAATATTGAAACACATGTTTTTATGTTGTTATTAAGTTTGTCTTTTTTAGATATGCATAAAAGAATGCTAAAATGATATTTTTGCTATTAAAACTGCAATGGCTTTCCATATAAATAACATTTTTACCAGTGCACCGGTAGCATGAAGTCTGTTTAACTACGTCATACAAAATGGTCGACCATTGTTTACATTTGTTGTGAGCGAGAATTTCATAGTAACAGAACTCTTAAATGTATTTTTAAGAGGATTAAATGTTAATTAAGTTGTTTATTCCTTCTTTTTTTCAAGTTAGTAAAATTTTATATGAAAAACACCTTGTATAAAATATGTACACCGGTATCGTGGAGACCCGGGCTATATATTCATAAAGAATTTCCCCCGTTACGGCTTAAGGAATTTAACGTAAAATAGAAATGAATTAAAATCTACATTAAAGGAAATTTGAAGTCAATGCATTATTCTATAAATAGATTTGAAAAGTCACGACTACTTTATGTTAAATTTAAATACAGTTTGAGAGATGTTTATTTAAGTCACGATCAAATTTACAGATATATCTTTAACAAATTGTCCGTCGGTTTTTCCTCGTTCGCCCAATAACTTAAGATTCGTCTGACACACAGTTTTCATATTTGGTATTTAGATTGGTCATGATGATTCCTATTGATTTTGAAGTCACCAGGTCAAAGGTCAAGGTCACAGGGGCCTTGACTAAAAAAGCATGTCCGCCCAATAACTTAAGACTCCCTTCACCCATAGTCTTCATATTTGGCATGGAGGTTAGTCATGATTAGTAGATTATCCCTATTGATTTTGAGGTCACTGGATCAAAGGTCAAGGTCATAGGGGTCTTGACTTAAAAAGCTTGTCCGCCCAAAAACATAAGATTCCTTTGACCCACAGTTTTCATATTTGGCACGAAGTTAAGTCATCATTTGTAAATGATCTCTATTGATTTTGAGGTCACTGGGTCAAAGGTCAAGGTTACAGGGGCCTTGATTAAAAAATGCGTGTCCGCCCAGTAACTTAAGATATCTTTGACCCACAGTCTTCATATTTGGCATGAAGGTTGATCATTACTATTAGCTGACCCCTAATGATTTTGAGGTCACTGGGTCAAAGGTCCAGGTCACAGGGACTTAGACTTCAAAAAGTTTGTCCGCCCAATACCTTAAGAAACCTTTAACTTACAGTCTTCATATTTGGCATGGAGGTTGATCGTGACCATTGGGTGACTTCTATTGATTTAGAGGTCACTAGATCAAAGGTCATGGTCACAGGGGCCTTGGATAAAAAAAATCCGCTCAATTGCTAAAGAATGCTTTGGTCACATGTCGTCATATTTGGTATTGAGGTTGTTTATTAATAGAAGATGACCACTATGATTTTGAGGTCACTGGGTCAAAGGTCACAGGGACATTGACTTCAAAATGTTTGTCCGCCCAATAACTTAAGAAACC